TTATTTCTTTGTTTGTGTTTTTATTTTATTTTTCTATTTCACTTCTCTCTATGTTACTTTTGCAAGTGCAGGTGCAGATGGAGTTATCTTCAATGTTTAGTTATGTTATTTATGTTTTGTAATATGTTTTGAACTATGTGTTAGTTGTAAAGACATGTGACTTTGTGATTTAATGATTATGCATTGTCTTGATTAAGTCGATGTGATTCTTGAAAATGATAACACATATGACTGTGGTTGCAATGTGCTTCATGTATTTTTATTTGTGTGTGAGTATGTATGACCAGATCTGTGAGTGTTGAGAGCATATATTGATTGAGAGATATTGAGTTGTCTAGATATGGAATTGGTTTTTGCATGATTTTAATTCTACGTATACACACACGTTTTGGTTAAGGATGAAAAAGGCCCTATTTATTATTGATTATATAGCCACTTGGCCAGATAGCCAACCTTTAGACACTGTGATACATTTGTGAACCTTTTTGAGCCTTGAAAATTTTTTCCTTCCACCTTGAGCCTATTAGATGATATCCTACCTTACACCCTAGAAGAGAACATGTATTATGTTTTAAAAGAGGTTAAGGTTGAATTCAAGTTTGTGGAAAGAAAAGATCAATAAAAAAAAATATGAAAAAAAAAGCTCAAAATGAAAGAAAAGGTTGAGCTGTGAAAGAAAATGGTATGTGATGAATGCTATATTTTGGGATTTGAGTACTGGATTGGGAATTGAAGTTGTTCTCTTCTTAATAGGTGTCTTTGAATCCAAGAAAAACCATTATTCTTTTTCTAGCCAAGCCAAGCTTTAACCTGAAAAGACCTTTGGACTTAACCAATAGTGTGTGGATTGTGTGAATCAAATGAAATGCAAAAGCTAATGAAGTTCTATGTCAATTCTACTGTCATGAGAGGACAAACACTTGAGTGTGAGTAATGATAAATGCTGATCTGGTTGTTTATATTCTATGCACAGATGATTTTATGAGTGATGCACCATGTCATACTTGTTTGAAATCTTTGGGAATGCATATGATTATTCTGATGTGCAGAGTCATTTTATCAAAATGTCAAATGTCTATTGTGATGTTCATTTTCTTATGTGATTTCATGAGGGCATGAAATAGTTCAAGTTTGGGATAGTTGATAAGTGTGAAAAAGAGTTGTTTTTATACTTATAAATGAACTCAATCTTGTAATTTTTCATGTTGTTCCTCGTTGAAAAGTTGTAATAGGTAGTAGATTGTTATGTAAAATATTGTACAGGAAATGATATATTATTTAGACTCTGTCAGCCAATTTTCGCAAAGCGAAAGCCAAAATTCGCACTGCCAGAAAAAGAAAATTCGCATAGCGCACCAGTACCTGTGCGCTGAGCGAATAACATCAGTTAAAATACAGCAGTTAAGAAAATTCGCATAGCGCACCAGTACATGTGCGCTAAGCGAATTAATGAATTTAAGTGGCTTTAAAAGACGTGACAGAGCGACAGAAACATTCCCTTCGAACAGAAGTTCCAGACAAAAGAAAGAAACGAAAACATCTCAGGAACTTCCGGAGACTACTTCAAGGCATCAAGACACCATTGTTGCAAGGGATTGCTTCAAATGTGTACGTTTTAGATGATTAGGAGTAGTTAAATTTCTCTTTCGTTGGGATTGGATGTAATGAACTCACTGTAATTTTCCTGCTCAATATATCGTTGTTTGTTCATATGCTCTTTCTTGAATTTATTATCATTGTATGAAAATATAACGTTCTTTTAATGTCTTTGATTACTGGAAAGTAACTTTGAACATGAACGAACGTAGATAGAGCACTTAAGTGATTTGGGATCTAGGGATAGACTCAATAACTTGATCATTCTTAACATCGGACTTAATGCAAATTGTATATTAAATTGGCTAAGGGATTAACATTTTGATATATTAATTTAGAACTAGTTGCTAAGGGATTAGGACTAGTATGGCTTGATGTGAATGTTTGAATGAAATAATGATATATTGTACAGAGTTTTATCTTCATATGATTCATGAAACCCAATTCCAACGAAGTTTCTTTTAAATATAAATTTCTTGCACACCAACTGTTTGATAAAATACCAAAAATAGTTTCTTGTGTTGTTTTGTGCATTTTGATGTCTAATTGAGTTATAAAAGGAAGAATTGTCATGTTGCACAAGTCCCTTGGGAGACGATACTTTTACTTATTCACTGTATTACTTGGAACGATTTGGTATACTTGCCAAAAAGTTATCATTCCCTCTTTTTCTTTTTCTTCCTCAATTCGTGGGCTTTTAATGACCCAACTAACTCCTCCACAGTGAGAGTTGACAAATCCTTTGTCTGTTCAATAGTGACCATGATACTTTCAAAATCATCCGTCAAATTTCTCAAGATCTTTTCCGCAACCCGATTAGGAGGAACCTCTTCTCCATTCATTCTGAGTTGGTTGGCCATCTTCTGCACTCGAGCTATAAAATCGACAACTCCCTCATTTTCATCCATCTCCATATGTTCAAACTCTCTTTTGAGAGCTTGTACTCGAACCTGCATCACGCGAGTATCTCCTTTGTATGCCACCTTCAGAATCTCCCATGCTTCTTTTGCTGACTTTGCATTAGCTATTTTCTCGAATCCAGATTCATCCACTGCATTATACAGAAAGTACAAAGCCGATTTGTCTTTCACTCGTGTCTTTTTCAATGCAACAATCTGGTTCTCTGTCTGATGCTCATCATCTGCAGGTTCATTGTACCCGTCCTCCACTATGTCCCATACATCTTGGGATCTAAGAAGAACCTTCATCTGCAAAGACCAATTGTCGTAATTGGTATTTTCCGACAATTGTGGCACACTCATCCCATTGAATACCTTTGTCATCTCTCTCACAAAAAAAATCAAGCACTCACTTTTTCTCTCACGGTGTTTGACTCTCTCCTCTCTCTCTTAATTTCTCTCTTAATTTCTCTCTTAATTTCTCTCTGTCTTTCTCTTAATTTCTCTCTCTCTCGGTGTTTGACACACACTCAAATATTTTCTTGAAATTGAGTATCGTTATTCATTATAATTGAGGGCTTTAAATAGCCATAACACTTACAATGTTACGAGGAATAAAAATAAAATATCAACTATCTTAAAAATAAAATCTACTTAATTTATTATAAAATAATATTGTATCTAGATAAATCGAAAATCATAAATACATGTCCCTATTTTATCTTTATTAAATGAAACTAAATATTACTATACCCCAAAATTAATAAAATAAGATTTAAACAAAATTATCGTTAAAATCCTAAAATTTAAGTTTATCGTAATATAACACAGTGCTCAAATGTCATTTCTTCTTATGGATAGAAAGCTGAAACAATTTCTCCCTTACTTAAGTTATGAAATGTCACTTGATTGACGTTATAAAACTTAAACTATATATGCAATATATATACATATTGAGGAGAGAGTTGATAAAATTGCTCCATTGTACTAAATATTGAAATGAACAGTTGAGTGATTATTCTCATAGAAAAAAAATATTATATTCTATTATTCTCTTTCTAAAATCACAAGTCACACCTTCAATAGTGAAAATCATTAGTTAAATAAAATTCAAGTGTTTCATACCAATTATATTGACAAAACAAGTTAAAGTTATTTATAAATGTACATAAGTCACGTTGAGTAATTTTTTTGTATTATTTTTATTAGATCAAACCTAAATAAACTAATCTATCATTAATAGGATATAATGCATCATTTTTACAAACAAAAAAAAGAAAAATACAAATTATTTAAGAGAAAAAAAAACTGTCTTAGAAAATTATGGTATAATTTTGACCCAAGCTCAATAATATTTACCATAATAAAATCAACTTTACAATTCGTAAGTAGTTTTCTCATAAATTTAAAGGAGTTAGAGAAAATAAATTCCAAAAAACTTATAATGTTTATATAAAATACTTAATTTTTTAAATTATATCGTTAAAATATAATTTGAAATTTAATATTATTAAAATCATACGTAACATTTAATTTTGAAAACATTTAATAAAAGTTAAAGTTATTATTAGTAAAAGTTTTTCGTACTTCTATAATTATTTTTCAAACATACAATTTGGACATATTTGAATTTCAGAAGGCAAAGTTTAAAAATATTTCCATTCTTAAAACAACAAAACCTTCTTTCTATGTTTTATATATCAAATTTAAAAGAATTAATTTTTCAATGTGAATTCTTACAGATGGCGCTGCAGTTATAAGTTGAAAAGTTTGCTGGTAAAAGAAAAAAGTTTAAAAGTTTAATACTTTAAATTTGATTACGAAAGATTTTATAAGGGTATAGTAAATATATGAATAATTCGTCACATTATTTTTTTATAATTGTAAGTTTTTTAATGATTTAAATTTTCATAATCATATGAATAATGATCATATAAAACTGATTTATGTTAAAAAATAATTTTCTCATTATTGACGTTGCCTCTTAAAGAGTAATTATGGATAAGGAATCAATTAATGAGTGTATTTAATTTATAGGTAAACGTTAACTGTACGAAGCTGAAACATTTCAACTTGTTTTAATCAGAGTCTGAGATCCTGATTAATTAAAACATCATTTAAAAAAAATTAGAAAATTCACACCAATATACAGATGGAAATTTATTTTTATAACACTAATTTTAAGAATTTAAATTAAATTTAATATACATTTTATAAAATAATATTAAAATTTATGTTCTTGGGTATAAAACAAGCAAGGAATTAAATATGTCATCACGTTAATTAATACTCAACACTAAACTTAACGACGAAGAATTTTACCCACACGCGTTGATAAATAAAGATCTTCATTTAGAAAGTTTACTTTTATGATTAATTATTAAAGTATGATATTTTTAATTTTGTAGTAGAAAAATGGAACATAAAACAGCAATAAATAAAAACGCAGGAAAACATTAAAATAATATTAAGAACCAACCACTCCACCCAATATTTTCATCTTCTCCCTGTCTTCTCAGCTTCTTCTTCTATCTAATATCTTTCTATTTCTTTCACTGTCAGTGTCTTCTTTTTTTCCCCCTCGTTTCAGGGAGAAAGAAGCTCATACCTAACGCAACGACGTCGTTTTGCGACTTCGAAGCTCTGTGAATCGTTCCACGTTCTCTCTTCAGAAACTGAGGTTCCGTTTTCAGTTATATTTATATATCTCGGAACGTTGTTAATCGAAACCAGTGTTAGCGGTTGAGGCGCAGGGTTAGGTTTCTCTCTCTCACTCTCTTCTGCGCGAAGCTTTTCCGGAATGCATCTTAGCGAGCGGTTATCGAGCGCTCCGATCGAGGAATCGCCGGCGGTTTGATGGAATCGGCGCCGTTTGCGTTCCGGTGTTCGCCATTCCATGGAGTCCATGGTTCGGTGCTATAGTTCGTGCGCGTTATTCGGATTTCGTTGCAACCTTCGATTCGCCGTTGTTGTTTTCGAGGTGTGGATTCTGCTACTTCTTCACCAGTTTACGAATATTTTTGTTCGTTTTTTATCTGTTGTTCGGACATTTCTTTTAGTTCAATGTTGCTATAACGCCTAGGTCTTGGGATTTTTGTGAATAGCATGCTGAACTCTGCTTAGGATCTACTTTGTAGTTGGAGAATGTGAGTGTAGATTTATAAGAGAATTGGTGTTTAAACGTTATATTATCGGACTTGAAATTCGGTTTTACTATTTGATGATTTTGTTGTTGTATGGTGATATTTTTTTTTTCTTGTTTTAGAAATTTTCACGATTTGTACGAGTGACGAGGTAGTAAAATATATAAATAAATAGGGGATTAAGATTTAAGAATCAGAATGTCTTTAATTTCTATTTCAAAAATCGGTCTTAGTTTTCAAAATGCAACTAAACAAGCTTGCTCAGGCACCTCCATCTAACCATTCATTGCTTGGAAGCAAATAATTATGAAGTTTTGATTCATAATGTTTGTTTAAAACATTGCATGAAAGTGTTGTCAGTATGGTTTCTAAAGTTGGATATCTATTGTTATATCCTGCATCAGATTGTATTGATATTGGCATGGTTGGAAGTCTATAATGCAAAGCTCCCAGAACACGGATTTCATGGGGGAGGTTTGGAAGGGAGGAGTGAGAACATTGCCTCACACTCTTGCATACATGACCAGATACTTGAACAGAGAAAACGACCTGGTCGAAAGGTGTATTCCGTTACCCCACAGGTTTACAAGCCTGGTCTTTCGAAACGCCTCCAGCTTAAAGGTAGAGCGTTGCTTGGTATATCAACATCATCAGAGCTTCTAGGGATTGAAAAGCAACCTATTAGGATATATCTAAATTATGATGCAGTTGGTCACTCCCCTGACAGGGATTGCCAAAAGATCGGTGATATTGTCAAGGTGTGTATTTAAAATCAATGTAAAAAGGATTCAGTGTTAATATTGGTTTTCTCTTTCACATATACTATTGGTACGGTTTAATCATTATTTTTTTATGAACAGCTTGGGGAGCCTCCCATAACTTCTCTTCCTGGTTTGCCTTCCTGTAATCCTCTTGCTGATCCTCCAGTCTCTGGCGATTGTTGGTATAACTGCACTTCTGAAGATATCTCAGGAGAGGACAAAAAACATCGCCTTCGTAAGGTTTGTTGGGATTTTACCTTTTTCTTTTCTATTTAATTATAAACTGTTTTACTTGATTGATAATAAAAAAAGTGCGTCCTGTTGCCATAAAGAATTAAAGGTCTGGATATGCCTGAATTCCAGAGAATTATATGATCCACTATATGGGTCCATAGTAGGCAGCCTTACCTTGCAACACAGCTTGAGTCAAATCACATAGCCACAAGTCCAACTGTTACGTTGATGCTCCTCCTCATCATGCCAATTATGTTATGTGATTCTGTGTCATTTTTGGCAGTTTTCTATTTATTGTTTGTCATGGTGGTGTTAGCTAGAGCTATACTATAAATATTGGATTGAGATATTTATCATTAGTAGAAACTTATTGCAGGCATTAGGTCAGTCAGCTGACTGGTTTAGAAGGGTATTGTCTGTGGAGCCTGTGAAGGGGAACTTGCGATTAAGTGGATACTCTGCATGTGGACAAGATGGAGGTGTGCAGCTCCCTCATGCCTATGTTGAAGGTATGATTCATTTGTTGGCCTTCTGTTGAAAGTGTAGTTCTTATAAAGCTTTTGGTTAACTGTACTACTAAATTTATGATGTCTTTGTTTGCCTTCCCTAGAGGGAGTCTCTGATGCCGACTTAGTTCTCTTGGTGACTACAAGACCTACTACTGGGAATACACTTGCTTGGGCTGTGGCATGTGAACGGGACCAATGGGGTCGTGCTATAGCTGGTACATTGAATGTGTGGGTTTTAATGTTGTCTTTATCCCTGGGATGCTTTGTAACTGAAAGTGCTCTTTTGCTTGCTTGTATTTGTGTGCAGGACATGTTAATGTTGCTCCACGTCATTTGACAGCTGAGGCAGAGACTTTGCTATCAGCTACTTTGATACATGAGGTTGTTTATTTCTGTATAGAAAAGATGAGATTGCAAACATAGCTATCTATTTTGTGTCTTTGTTGATTTTATTTGATGCTTTTCAGGTTATGCATGTTCTTGGTTTCGATCCACATGCCTTTACTCATTTTAGAGATGAAAGGAAAAGACGCCTTGACAAGGTATTTGCTGCTCTTTTTGTGCTTTTACAATGCTATGGTATATTATAGATTTATAAGCCATTGATTTTCAAGTATACTTTCCTCCATGTTTGATTTGAATTTTACAATGTGAAACTGAACAATGGTGGGTGGCTTCTAACTTCATTTGATACATATAGTTGTTTACTGCTCTCTTTATTATAATTATAATTTATCGTAGTATACTGTCAGTCATGAAGTTTGAAACTAAATATAGCTGAGATTGTATTGCAGGTGGAGACAATTTTTAGCTCTTTTACATTATTAAATATTAATTTGTATTGAAAATAAGTTGATGAACTTTAATGAATATGGAGTTTGTATGAAAACCTTACAAATCTTTTGGCATTTAATCCTATTTTTAGAACATCCTCTGTTTTTCTTTCTGATATGATGTTAAAATCTGTTTTCTTTTTAAGCACTCCTTTTCCTTCTAAACCATATTGTCACATTTTGGAAACTCATTGTTTCTTGTGTTTCTAGGTTACTGAACAAGTTATGGATGAAAAGATTGGGCGGATGGTGACACGAGTGGTACTTCCACGTGTTGTCATGCATTCTCGGCATCATTATGCGGTAATTTCTATGGAACATATTCTCTATGATTTCAATGACAACTTTCCTGTTTTCACATGTACTGGGATCTTCATTAGAAGATTCAACTAATGATTGATTAGTGATTTATTGGCAGGCATTTTCAGGAAATTTTACTGGCTTAGAGCTGGAAGATGGTGGAGGACGTGGCACATCAGGTTCTTAATCTCATCATTTTCTTCTTATTTATAAGTGCCATCCTTTTCCTCTGGTCTATGTTGTTTCCACCAGACTTAGATTACATTGGCAAGCTGTTTTTCGATTGCTGAAGCTGGTAAAGCTTGAATTTCATTCAGAACATTTTATTTGTCTTTTTATATTTCCAATCCCTCATCCTTCCCCTTCCCCTTTTATTTTGAAAGAATAAAGCTATCCTGGTGCTTTAGTCCAACCAATATTAGTAGAAAGACTAGTTAATCCTGGGTGTTGCAGTATAGCATTTATAAATTTTTGCTCAAATGTGGTTTATATGGTTTAAAATTTATATACAATATGGATATTGAAATGTTGAAATATTTTTGCCCTCTTGGTAAAATTATTATTCTGTTCTTTAATTTTTCCAAAAATACACTTGAATAATGAAAAGGTATGGAAAAAAAATTAGAAAATATCATGCATGATGTTGAAGTGCTGCTTTTAACTTATACCATCAAATTCATCAATCCGATTTTGATGATTGGGTTACAGGGTCTCACTGGGAAAAGAGGCTTCTGATGAATGAGATCATGACTGGTTCTGTGGATACAAGATCTGTAGTTTCAAAAATGACACTAGCTCTATTAGAAGACAGCGGATGGTACAAAGCCAATTATAGTATGGCAGACCAACTTGATTGGGGTCGGAACCAGGGTACTGAGTTTGTTACCTCCCCTTGCAATCTATGGAAAGGGGCCTATCATTGCAACACAACACAATTCTCAGGTTGTACTTATAACAGAGAGGCAGAGGGTTACTGTCCAATTCTAACCTACAGTGGAGATCTTCCTCAGTGGGCTCGGTATTTTCCTCAAGCTAATAAAGGTATGCATTTTCATGTATTCATTTTTAATATTTGAGTGCTAATCTGTGTATGGACTGTGTGCTAATCTGTGTATGGACTGTTGAGAGCTTTCATGTGTTGATAATCAATGCTTGGGATAGATTATATTTTATTAATGCTATACTACCAATTAGAACATTGTAGTAGAATGAATAAAGGGAAGGTCAGAGAGTGGGTAAAGGTGAACAATTAAAGTTAGGACTTAAGCATAAGAGGAGAACTAAACCCAAAAAACTAGTCTATTAGGTGGGAGAACTTCAAAGTTTAAGTTACATTTAGTAGCTCATTATACTCAATGTTCCTAACTTTGTTAGGGCCTATAAGGGCTGACGTCTATCACCATGTTTGTAGCAGCTAGGAGGGAATTTAGTTAGAACTGGAGGGGAAGTGAGAACCAAGGTCTCTCCAATTTCTTAGTGGAGTGCGTAAGGGAATAAATTATCTCAAGATACGTATATTTTGTACCCTATGCTCAATCTATCTTCATTGTATACACTTGGTGAGGAAGAACAAAATGTCAAGTGTCTTTTACATTCTTTCCGTATAAATTTCTTATATCTGGACACATTCTTACAGACTGCCAAGCGATTGTATTTTTGTAGATTATTCTAATTCATTTGTAGCCGTTGGTTTTTATCTTGTTTCACATTGATTTTTTGTCACTGGTAGATGTTGTACATGGTTTTAAATGCTAAATGAAGATTTGGCCGTAGAAAGTTGAAATATCATGATGCACTGGTTTGTGCAGGTGGACAATCCTCATTGGCTGATTATTGCACTTATTTTGTGGCATACTCTGATGGATCATGTACAGACACTAGCAGTGCACGAGCACCTGATAGCATGCTAGGTGAAATTCGAGGAAGTAACTCCAGGTCAGGTTTCTTCTTTGGAATGATAACATAGCCTGTTTTTACCATCCAATTTGTCATGAAACAGGGTGTATGATTTCTAAGTTCTAACTGTTATTGCTTTTTAATGCAGGTGCATGGCCTCATCGTTGGTGCGCACAGGATTTGTCCGGGGTTCTCTGACCCAGGGAAATGGCTGTTATCAGCACAGGTGTATCAACAATTTTCTAGAGGTATAGTTTGTAGTGTTAATAGTTTTAAGGAAATGCCTTAGTTGAAGTTAAAGATTGGCAGACAATGCCTTTTTTGATTGATATGGAGATGACATGATGCAATACTATATCCTTAGACAATGAAAGTCGGACAAGATCATTTAGGTACAGCAGATTTGAAAGTGTGTAGCCAATTATTGACGTTGAACTAAGGAATGAAAATTGAACTACTACAGAACTAGCCAGATAATTAGGTTGAATAACCTCCACTTTGTCCCTACCCACTCCAGGGGCTGATTGTTTGAGCAATGAATGACAGTCATTGAATTTTTCTTGTTCTTGTTAAAACAATAAATTCATACTTTTTGTTCTTTCCTCATGGTTTATATTATTGTAGATACTTTATATTCTGAATAAGTAATTATTTCTCTAATTTGCAACCAAATTTGAGTAGACACTTTCTTCATTAACATTTGAACGGGTTGCAACTGCTGCTTATCTTTTCTTTCACCTTTTATTGAATTGATTGGTGCATTTCCCTTCTTTTTCCTGTAATGTGAAACCACTGAATGAAGCTCCATATTACTTCAGGTTGCTGTGGATGGTGTCTGGAAAGTGTGTCCTCAGGCTGGTGGACCCATTCAGTTCCCTGGCTTTAATGGTCAATATTTACTGGTGTTTTCTTTGTTTACACATTAATGTTAGATTCCAGTAAGCTGATGGCTTGCTTTTTGCTTACCAATAGGGGAATTAATCTGCCCTGCATATCATGAGCTCTGTAACACGGATCCAGTGGTTGTGTCTGGGCAATGTCCCAGTGCATGTAATTTCAATGGAGATTGTGTTGATGGAAGGTGTCACTGCTTTCTTGGATTTCATGGTCATGATTGCAGTAGACGTAAGCTCTAATTTCCCACGCTGTGTTGCTTGTGTCTGGGCAATGTCCAGTACATGGGCAGTATTCATTTTACTTTGATTGCTAAAATATTACCTTCTGTGTAGTGGTACAATATTTGTTTATGCTTTGTTTTATTAATTATTGTTCTCTTCGCATATTCCAGGTTACTGTCCCAGCAATTGCACTGGCAAGGGGGTGTGCCTCACCAGTGGAATATGTGAATGTAAAACTGGCTATACTGGCATTGACTGTTCCACTGGTACATTTCAAGTTCTATACTTTGTAGTTTCTTGCTTAAAAATTGTAACAGTAAATAAATTATCCTAATCTTTTAGCATTAGTTAGATAATCACGGATGAGCTTTTGAATAGTATTTACATTGTTAGCCAATATGATGTATATTCGAGTGCTAGAACATATGGACTATATTGTGGTCCTGCAGGATAATTAGGCTCAGTTCAATTCATGAAGGCTCCTAGTTTATGTACCATCCTCCTTCCCCAAATGTTTGGATTGCACTTACATGTTAAATTTAAACATATTTAGTGAATCTAGTTGAACAATATTTCTAGTAGGAAAATCTTTAATTGTTGTCCCTGATATTACATGCAGCTGTTTGTGATGAGCAGTGCAGTCTTCATGGTGGAGTTTGTGATAATGGAGTTTGTGAATTCCGTTGTTCTGACTATGCGGGATATACTTGCCAGAACAGCTCCAGGCTCCTCTCCAGTCTTTCAATTTGCAGAAATGTGCTGGGAAATGATATTTCCGGACAACATTGTGCACCCAGTGAACCTAGCATACTTCAGCAGCTAGAAGAAGTGGTTGTGATGCCCAACTACCATAGATTATTCCCTGGTGGTGCTAGGAAACTATTTAATATATTTGGCAGTACGTACTGTGATGAGGCTGCCAAAAGGCTTGCCTGCTGGGTAAGTTCTATCTTTTCCTGCCAAAATTATAATTTAGATTCCTTCTTTTTCCTATTTGTAATACGATTCATTCTTAGTCATGCTCAATTTTTCTTTTCAATGTGGTGTTTATTTTAATTTTTCGGTAACTAATTATTTCACACAATTTGAAGCCTTGCATGTGACTTTCCATTCTGATGTAACAATAGCACGAACCAAATTTATTTGGTTTTAAAACAATATACTGACGGTGGTTATTCCTCTAGCCATAATGTAATGCTGATTCTGACTAGTATGCTGATTCTAACATTGTGTCTTTCTGAGAATGACTGAAACCTTAAACTATAATTCTTTTTAGTCGTATAATGCTTGATTACCCTGCTTCTAAATTTAGCTGTTCATTTAGTTGTAATGTTGCTTATTTATCTAAAACTTTTGGTGCATTAATTTCCAGATCTCAATCCAAAAGTGTGAGAAGGATGGAGACAACAGGCTACGAGTATGTCATTCTGCATGTCAGGCTTATAATCTAGCATGTGGAGCTTCACTGGACTGCGGTGACCAAACCCTTTTCAGCAGCGAGGGGGAGGGGGAGGGTCAGTGCACTGGCTCTGGTGAGATGAAATTGTCATGGTTTAATCGACTAAAAAATAGTTTTTCTTTGAGAAATAGTTCCTCAAAAGTGATATCTATAACAAGATATAGGCAGCTTTAGCTTCGATTGTTTTCTCTCTCTCCAGGGAGAGGGGTGCTTGGATTGTAACTTCACATGGTTATTTTAGGAGAAATAGGGGGCATGGAACGTCTTAGATTTAGGGCCTAACTCGTCCAAAATTGTCTAGAAAAATGGGATGAGAAGGCTAAAGATTTGGCTTTCGAAGAGAGCCGCTTGTAGAGAAAATTTATAGTCTTTGGAATTGCATAGGTGATGAGAGAAAAGCTGAAGTTTACATTAACTGACTTTTGGCCGAAGGCCTTCGGAGGGGAAAGAAAAATATTACCCTTCATTTGTTTTGCTGTATGTATAGTTTACAAAGTCTTCTTCATTTTACCCTTTTAATATGTTTTTTTTTTCTAGTATGGCCATTTTTTTTAGTCAGCTTTACTCTTGTTTCTTTGTTCCGTGCAATTTTATCCAACATTTTTTCTGTCGAACATTCTTCGTAACATTTGTTAACACATTTAGTTGAGTTCTGTTAGAAATAATTAAATTCAGTAAGTCTTAAAACTTATTTAATGTTTTTTAATTTTGTAATTTTCAGTAAAATTTGTTGTTTTACAACATGAGTTTGTGTGTTGAAAGGTATGAGCAGAAATAATTGTGAAAGTTAGTAGTATTAGATTTCATATATAGCCATGATTATTTAGCCATATAGTAAAACATCTTAATTTTTTTAACACTACAAAGTTCAATATCGAGGAAAAAAATCAATAGAGAAACTTGATCTATTTAAAGAAAACATCTTTAGATGTGTAACTACAACCAAAATTTGACAGACACTGATAAACTTGATGAAAAGTTGAATAATCCAAGAAAACACATTCTTGTGAGTGGGTATCTTCTAATTTGTAGCTGTAGTATTGTCCCAGAAAAAGAAATCAAACTTAAATATAAGACATTGTAAGGGATATGATATTGTTGGAAAAAATGTATCACCGTTGTCTAAAGTCAATAAAAGAATAATATTTTGTATAAATTTGTACAACACTTTCAAACCACTTGGTTTCAAATACATCCACAATTTTAAGACTAAAACTATAAATCTAAAGTCTATTATATAGCATTGACATTTATTTTTTGGTTTAATTCTTACTTGGTTTGTTTGTTAAATGAGTTTTTTTCAGTTTAGTACCTGATTTTAAAAGTGTATACATTGGGCCTTAAAGTTGTAAAAATTATATGAATTAAGTCCCTTCCGTTAACTTGGCAGAGTTAACTCCGCGTTGACATGACTATAAAATTTGATCTTTTTCTTTTCTCTCATCTGTTCTTTTTGTAACGTCCAACTTTTTTCTTTATATATCTATGATTTTCATAATTGAAGGACATTTTTTTTTTCTTTTTCTCCTTTTGCTGACGTGTTCCTCTACACATTCCCCTTCCTTCCTCTCGGCTTGACACTCTACCGTTCGGTTCAAAAATTCCTTTGTCGTTCGGTGCAAAGTTCCTCTGTCGTTCGGTGAAAAATTCCCCTTTCCTCTTCTCGTCTTGACACTCTGCCGTTCGGCTTGACACTCTCGGCTTGACTTCCTTCCTTCCTTCATCCAACGCTCGGCCACTATGTGCAACTGATTCACCCAGCTCGTTACTGTCATGCCTTGCACTGCGAGGTTGTCGTACTCATCTTCTTCACCAAACCTCCATAGCTTTGCGTAACCAGGGCACCATCGGCCCATCCCCTTCTCCATCATTCTCACGCAACAACCTCTATTGCGAAACCTTCACCAACCTAAATGGCGCCGCTGTTTGTAAAAGATGGAACAATGAATGAGACTGATGCACCGAACGATAGAGGATGCTTGAACCGAATGGCCGAGGACCTCTGCATTGAACGACCGAATACTGATTCACCGAACGGTAGAATAATGGGTGAAGAGACAGTTTCACCGAAAGGTAGAGGACGCTTGAACCGAACGGCCAAGGGTGAAGGAGATGATAGGAAGATCAGAGGAGAGAGGAAAAAAGTCTATTCACTCACTAACTGCTTTTAATTAATGTTGAGAGGAATAGAAAAGAGAGAAAAAAGATGGCAGGAAGAGCAGGGAGAGAGAGAAAAAAAGTGCAGCCACGTCAGTACGGAGTTAACTCTGTTTATGCCAATTTAACGAAAGAGACTTAATTCATACAATTTTTACAACTTTAGGATTCAATGTATACACTTTTAAAACCGGGTACTAAACTAAAAAAACTCACTTAACATAGAGACCAAGTAAGCAATTAAACCTTATTTTTTTTAATTATTTTAGGTTGTGAGACTTATTATGTAGTCATTGACATTTATCTTTTTACTTATTTTAGGTTATGTATATTTTCACTATACTCAATCAATAGTGTGTTGAGAACACTATTTATTATGAAGTAGACAACAATTTGAAAGAGAAAGCTTCAAAATTTTAAAGGAATAGAAGCATGTTAATCCTAACACTATTAATTTGTGTACTTTTAATTTTGGTGGTGAGTACGAGGATAAATAAGTATGTGCGTAATGGAAGGATTTAAAGGATCTCACGCCCACAATTAATTTGTGTACTTTTAATTTTGGTATCAAAATGAAGTTCAATTACAGAAATAACTTAAACATATTATTGTGAAGAATCTTACAAAATTAACGTCAACATATTCATAATGTTTAATAGGACATTCGATTCAAACAAATTCACCAACAATAAACTTAGTCTGTTCCAAAATTTCACAAATAGTCTTGTTTTCAAGAGAATGAGAAAAAGATAGATGCAGGAATATCTAACATAAACATTGATTTGGATAAAGAAATAATCATAAGCTTATTCCCACACCTCATTTTTTTTAAAAGTGAATTCCCACTCTTAATCTTCATTTGTGACCACTTTTAAGAGCACTAAGCATAGTTTTGAATATTCATGATAGAAAAACTTAAGTAAATTATCCACCAAAAGGAGTTCGTGTTAATCCTAAAACGGTATCATTTAATATGTATTATAAAGGTAAAATGATTAAAGTGAATTTTTGTAAAAAAATAAACAGAAATAAAAAGTAAAGAGAAATAAATGTAAAATAACTAAAGTGAATTTTGGTAAAAAAAAATTAAGAAAAAATAGTGTGAAATAAATGTAAAAGAAATTGCGTGAGAAAAAGTATCATATATTTATTAGTGGGCACTGATTTTTATGCGTGGGAAATTATTAATTTATTACATTAAAAAAAAGTAAGTGTGAGACTATTAAGGGCAAAAGGCGATTACATAATCAGATCCAGAACAGGTGCGAGTGCTGGAAGCGTCATCGTAAGCGTAACTGTACGCTGTTGGACACGCATTCTTGAAAATCTCCGAATAATGTGTCGCCGAACACGTTTGCGGCGTTCCGTGCTCGCCGGTGCAGCAAAACACCGACGTGTTAAAAGCGGCGCACGCGCTTTTGCACGCAACCACCGCGCCGCCGCCGTCTCTCACTTGCAATTCCTCCGGACACACTGTGTTCAAGTCCGCCGCGCACCCTGCGTACTTGCAGTCACCGGTTCCTCCGGTAGCCAGCACGCCGATGCCTACATTGTAACCGTCCACAAGACTCACGTCGTAGAAGTCCTTGTCGCCGTTACCGGCAAATCCGACGGTGAACTCTGCCAGAGTGGCCGGTGGAACGCCTGCCCCGGTGCACCGCAGTCCACTGCCGCAGTCGCCGGTGACGCATGTTCCGATGCCGGATCCGTCGAAGCTACAGCCGGTCCTGGCCCATAACCGGCCGGACCAGCCAGATGGTGCGGTGAGCTGAATCTCCGCACCCGGCTCCAGGGGGAAACCGCCGTCGCCGAGAGTGGCGACACCGTTGCCGGAAAGTGTCCCCGGCCAAACTGTGTAACTGCAACGGTTTTGGAGGGTGAACACTGCGGCAGATGCTACATTACCTGAAAAAAAACATATATAGTATACATCATAATATTATAGATGAATTATTTCTCCACTGAAATATGACTAAAAAATAATAAATATTTCTTAAATGAAAAATATTTTAAGAATGAGATTAGTTAGATTTATTTTATATTGTAATTTATTTTGGTTATATTTAAATTCAGTCAAACATAACTTTTACTGATCTATTATTAAATGAAAATTCATGAGAAATAGGTTGTTTACCTAATAAGAAGAGGAGGAAGTGTGGAAATGCAAAGGGTTTTGAGTTTGGATTGAGGCCCATCACTTTCATAGAGAAAAACATAAAATATGATTGGAAATGCAACAAAGTGTTAAAGTGAGAATGGAAAATGGAGATGCATCAAACTTAATTTATATTTGGGATTAAGCCTCTAACTGTTATTTAAGAATCTGGCATACTCTTTCTGTCACTAATTTAATACTGTCGGTTATCTTGTCGTGCTCCTCCCATACCCAAATACCTCCATCAATCAATAATTATAAATTCTAATAACTCTACATCAACGTATATATCTCAATATACCAAACATTACGTAATTAATCTATATAACTATATAACAAATTTATGTATTTATTTTTAAATTTTTATTATATAATATACCTTACTGTATCAATTAACTACATATATAATTATTATATTACATCAAAATAAGTTATGCTAATTGTTGTTTCTATAATAATTTAAGATTAAATAATGATGTAAAAATACTTTACGTTGTTAGATCGTATATTTTTCTTATATATTTATCGAAATGTAGAGGATACTAATTAACATATAAAGACATGTAAACAAATATAAAGCATTATAGTAAAAATAAAAATAATTTTAGAAAAATGATAACGTACAACGCCGGGTATGCGTGGCCATGGACGTCGTCGAAAGCCACACGCGCCGGTTTTGTATATAAAAAATACAATTTTAAATGAACTATAATATAATATTTATCAGTGTTGTTTGTTGAAAAAATATTTTATGCGATTTTCATTAAGTATTAAGGTAACATAGATATATAATTTGGTCTTTTTTAAAGACATTTAATAGAATTTATTAACAAAATAACATGCATAAAAAATATATAATTCAATAATCTATTTAATATTGCGTAAATATCAAATTACTTTTTTTAGGCCTTCTTCTATTTCACTCTATCTGCCTTTTTTACTACGCCATTGAACAAACAATAACATAAGATGAATCTGAAAAGTAAATGATTAATAAAAAAATTCCTTAAATGGCTACAACATGTAATCTATTAAACCATTACTCATTTTTCAAATAAAGGTCTTTGGTGTAATAAGTGGGAGTGACCCTTCTTTAAAAAAACACTAACCATTCCTATCTATAACCTAAAAAGAAGATGGCTTATATGTATATACTTTAATAATGAGGTAATTTGCATATTTTATTAGCCAAAAAGAGGTCTGTTATCTTAACTGGAGGGGTTATTAAAATTC